CCTCCCCACAGCCACACAGCTCCAGCCAGGCACTCCGGTGCTGGCCACCAGCTCCTTGTGACAGTGCCAGGTCCCCCCTCGCAGCACCAGCGCCTCCCCAGTCCCCCAGCACAGCCCCTGCAGCCACGGCTCTGGGGCACAGGGTGGGCCCTGGTGCTGGGGGCTGCCAGATCTCCCGGGTGGCACGGCCGGGCAGCCCCGGCCAGGCGTGTCTGGTGCACGTGGTGCCACCGTGAGCCGTGGGGCTGCCTTGGGGGCACCCAGCAAAGGGCAGAGAGCCGGGACAGAGGGCTGGGGGGGCCCTGACATTCAGCCTTGGGATGACCACGAGCCACACACGTGTTGGCACAACTGTCCCCTTGCAGTGCCAGCATGCCAGCAAGGACCCAGGGAAGGGTCCTCCATCGCACACCCACCTGCAGGGACCCCCCGCCCCTGAGCCAGGCACGCTGTGCTCTTGTCACCCGCCCCAGCGTGGCACTGGCCATGGCACAGTGTGGCACGGCACTGTGGTGGCACAGACCCTTCTTCCACACTGCTGGGACCACCGTGGCCACCGGCCCCTTGTCCCATCCAGCACCCCGCGTGGTGCAGCCCTGCACCACACTGTGGCACTGCTCTGGCACTGCACTGGCACTGCACTGGTACTGCTCTGGTACCGCTCTGGCACCACACTGGCACTGCTCTGGCACCGTTCTGGCACCTCTCTGGCACTGCTCTGGCACCGCTCTGGCACCGCTCTGGCATCGTTCTGGCACTGCTCTGCCCCGGCCCCCCCGTACCTTCTCCCGCTGCACCAGCTTCTTGTAGGCGACGTCCGGGAAGGAGCGGAGGGGGCAGAACTTGCCGGTGCCCTCGGCGCACATGAACACGCCGTTCTCGTAGACCACGCGCCCGCGGCTGATGGTGACCAGGGGCACCCCGTGGCACCGCATGTTCTCGTACAGGTTGATGTCCCCACCCTGCACCTGGGTGCTGGCCGAGATGGTCCTGGGCGGGGGGATGGCACGGTGAGGGGTGCTGGTGGCACGGGGAGCCCCTTCCCAGCCCCCTGCCGTGGGCTGCACCTACTTGGTGGCCTCGGGGTCCCAGACCACGACGTCGGCGTCGGCCCCAGGGATGATCCGGCCCTTGCGGGGGTACAGGTTGTGGATCTTGGCGGCGTTGGAGCTGGTCACGGCCACGAAGCGGTTCTCATCCATCTTACCCCCCACCTGACACAGGAGTGGGGGTGAGGACGTGCTAGGCTGTGCCCCATCCTATCCCTACAAGCCCCCACGGCACCCTAGACGTGCTGCTGGGGCTGGGACCCTCGCCAGGACCCACTGGGGTGGCACTGGGGAGCACCTCACCCACCAGCAAACACCCCACGGGACGTCCCAGCCCAGCAGAGCCCCCTGGGCCAGCCCCGGGCCAGGGCCTGGCAGTGCCGTACCACGCCGCGCTCCCAGATGATGTTCATGCGGTCCTGCACCCCGCTGACACCGTGGGGGATCTTGGTGAAGTCCTCCTTGCCCATGGCCTTCTGCTTGGTGCTGAAGGGCCGGTGGTCCGAGGCCACGATGTTCAGCGTGTCGCTGTGGGGGGACAGGGCAGGGTGGGGGACGGCACCCCTGGGGCTGCTCAGGGTGCCCGGGGAGCCCAGAGCCCAGGGAATGGGGCACCTACACCACGGGGTGCCTGGAGACCTGGGTACCTGGGGGGCAGGGGTGCCCAGGGAATGGGGTACCCATGCAGGGAGTGCCCGGGGGGCAGGGTGCCCAGGGAATGGGGCATCTGTGCACGAGGATCCCCAAAGGAATGGGACACCCGTGCAAATGGGGTCCCCAGGGAGCTCAGTGCCCAGGGAATGGGGTACCCAGGAAATGGGGCATTCACACCATGGGGTGCCTGGAGAGCAAGGTTTCCAGGGAATGGGGCACCCAGGGAGTGGGGACCCTGGGGAGTGGGATACCTGGGGAGTGAGGCGCCCAGGAAGCTCAGTGCCTGGGGAGGAGGGTGCCCAGGGTGGGGCCCAGGAAGGGCACCCACAGCCCGGGAGCTCAGCGAGTGCTTGGGAAGTGCAGCACTCACAGAGCACGTCCCAGGGGCACACAGGTCCAGGGAGGGAGGCAGAGAGAGCTCGGCGCCCGGGACAGGGGGTGCCCGAAGGATGGGGTGCCTGGAGGGCACAGCACCAAGGGAGCAGGGCGGTGGGGCGATGGCACAGCCAGGCAGGCTGGCACCCGGGAGCAGGACACTGGGGGGTGTGCTGGACACCAGAAAGCCACCACAGAGTGTGGCTGGTGAGGGGGGGCAGAGTCTGGCAGTGCCTGGGTGGGGCTCACTTGGCGAGCAGGCTCATGAGGTAGGCGGAGGTGTTGGTGTCGAGGCGCAGCGGCGGCACGGTGACGTAGGCGGCGGCGTGGAACCAGTCCTGGTGGTAGTAGTGCAGCCCGGTGAGCGTGGCGTGCGCCGTGGTCGTCTCCGCGTACACCACCTTCCCTGCCGGGGCGGAGGCACAGGCGTGTGCGGGGGCACGTGTGCGGGGGCACGTGTGTGTGTGCACTGGCCATGCCCAGACCCCACGCACCCGTCAGGCCACGAGCCCTGTGACCATGTGTGTGCTCACATGTGTGCCCCATGGGTGCTCACACATGTGTGTCCACATGTGTACTCACGTGTGTGTCCCCTGGGTGCTCACGTGTGTGTCCTGTGGGTGCTCATGTGTGTGCCTTGTGGGTGCTCACACTTGTGTCCCCTGGGTGCTCACGTGTGTGTCCTGGGGGTGCTCACATGTGTGTCCTGGGGGTGCTCATGTGTGTGTCCTGGGGGTGCTCACATGTGTGTCCCCTGGGTGCTCATGTGTGTGTCCCCTGGGTGCTCACACGTGTGTCCCCTGGGTGCCCGGTGGCTGCGGTTCCAGGTGTGGAACACACCTGTGCGAGGGCACGGCCCCACAGGCACACACGTGTTCCTGTGCCCACATGTCTGTTCCCTCCCGTGTCTCCGGGTGCCCGTGTGTCTCTGCGTGTCCACGGCTCTACCATCCACGTCCACGTTCCTCCAAGCCCCCAACCTCCCCGGTGCCCACGCATGTCCCGTGCCTGTGGGTGTCTCTGTGCCCGCACAGGTGCTCCTTGCCCACACAGTCTCCACCCGTGGTGCCCGCACAGGTGCTCCTTGCCCACACGGTCTCCACCCGTGTCCCCTACCTTGCATCTTGGCAGCAGCGATGACATCCCCTGCAGACATGCTGGAGACGTTCACCAGGTACACCGGGCAGTGGGTCTGTGGAGAGCGGGTCAGTGGCACCGTCCCTGTGGCACTGTCCCTGTGGCACCCTGGCTCCATGGGGACCCCCCCACGGAACTGAGATGCCCACTCTCAGCCCACCCCACGCTCAGGACCACTCACCCTGTTGGCGATGGTGATGACACGGTGCGTGGCCTCGGCTTCCAGCTGCGGAGAGAGCCAGCAGTGACACATGTGGCACGGTGTCACCCAAGGGTGGGTGGGGGACACAGTGATGGGTGGGATGTCCCAGAGTGTCCCAGAGCACCCCAGCCATGACCCGTGCCACC